CACCGGCCGAGGGGGGAGGCCGCCTTCTTCCCCGCAGGGCATGAGCGGAGGCGCCGGGGGCTCGGAGCGGCCTGAGGAGCGGCAGCGGTTCCCCCCGCCCGGCAAGTCCCTGCCCGTGCGTGTCAGGCCTGAGCCCTGCCGCGGCCGCGCCCCCGCCCTCTGGGACCCCCTCATCGCTCTCCTTCATTTATGTCCGTGTAAAATGATCTTTCGGGGGTACCCAAAGCGATCTTTCCGTTACCCGAGCTGGTAGCGCAACCAAAACGCGCCCAGCCGGCTGGCGCGGTCCTCAGGCCGCCAGCCGAGGACGGGGCTGGTTCCCTGAGGGAAGAGCTGAGGGTTTCGGGGAGCGGTCAGTTTTTGGGGTCTGCTCTGGTGGGTGACGGCTGCCCCTCTCTCTGTCCCCGCCTAGATCTCAGCTCTGAGACAAAATGGGCTCCTGCAGGCTCTGGTGCGGGGAGCGGGGCAGCCCGTGGGCGCTGGTAAGCTTTTCCTCTGCTGCCTTTGTGTTGATCTCATTGTGTTCTGGTGGGGGAAACGCCTGGGGAGCTTGAAGGGAGCCCAGTGCTGGGCTCGCAGGCAAACCTGGCTCCGACTTGGTGAAGCCTTGGCCTCGCTTTGTCCCCGATTTGCCAAGGAGAAACCTCGTAGCGTCTCGGGGGCCTTGGTCAGGATTTATTTCCCCAGAGAAGGGGAAATCCTGCCCCGAGATGACCTGAGCGGTGCCGGGGGAAGGGAGCAGGCGCCCCCCAGGGCTCCCAGCAGACTCCAACCTCCGGCGTGCCTTTCTTTTGGCAGAGGTCAGCGAGGAGCTGCGGCGAGCCCAGGAGGAATGGGAGGCTGTGGAAGAGATCCAGTCAGGTACAGCGGAGGCCGGCAGCGCCAGGGATAAGGGGGGTTGTTCCAGGGTTGGACAGAGAAGGTCTGGGCAGGGGAGGGGACCTGGGTGTGCAGCTGGGGGACATTTTTGGGGTGTGGGGGGGAGCTGGGGAAGGGGCTGAAGGTCTGGAGGGGGTGGGGGGCCCGCTGCCTTCCCCCAGCTCCCCAAGTCTTTGCCCCCCCTGCCTTGCTAGAAGCTGGGAGCGAGCTTCCTGCTCCGGAACAGCCGCTCTGGCCTGAGGCGGGAGCTCGTTTCGGCACGGGGAAGCTGGAGCGGAGGGCAGGGCTGAGGCTGGGGGGGCTAACGCTGTTCTCTGCCCCTCTGCAGGGCTGGGGGGGACGGCGGCTGGTGCCGCGCCCCCGATCTCCTTCAACGAAGCGCTGCAGTACTTCCAGACAGCTGACCTCTCCGAGTGCAGGGTACGGCAGGCCCCGCGCTCTCGCCCTCTCTCGGGGGGGTAGTTTTAGTAAGTAGGAGAGGGGAGCACGGCGGGAGAAGCTCAGCGCTCCCCTCCTTCCCTTCTGCCTTTCCTTGGCTCGGCTCGCGGCCGG